AAAATAAAAATAAAAATTTAATGCTGTACAAGAAAGACATTAAATCCAAAAAGAAGTTTTCTTCGTCCTGTTTCCTCTTCTGAATCAGTGTGGTAAACCAATACTTAATGGTACTACACGAGAGAGCAAAACATTTCATCAGATAATTATGGCCTCGAATACTTGCATTTAGTCTCTTAACACTTTTTAATACTTTCTTAGTTAGTCTACAGTAAGAATTGCACTTGTTGCCTGGATTACGTGTAATACTCAGGTATTAAAGCTTGTGTAGAAATGTCTATATGCTATACTTTACACTCAAGTCGTAGTTTCTTGAAGGGATAACACTTAACTTCAAGCTCCACACATTAGTTAATTGGTAATAAGGAAATAATAATTGTCTTATTAAAATATGAAGAACATCGTTAGGAAGTTAGACTACATAACATATTCATAAGTAAGCTTCTTTTGGCTTATTTGTCTTAAGGTGTACACACCATATGCATATGCAGCCATCCTCGGGATTTAGTTTCTAATGGTCTAAAATCTGGGATCTTTTATGTGTTACGTCAATGTGTTAACCAGTACACTATGGAGTCACAGGATTAATAGTTAATAAAAAAAACAAGACAAACAAAATAAAAAAGACTGTTAGGAAACATGGATAAGATTTGTTATAAAAAGCATTAAGCACTTTAAATCAAACGTGTACAGTTTGTTATTGTTAGAACATTACTAATGTGTTTTTGTTACTAATATTAATACATGTTGTGTTATTAAAGTTGTTTTTATTTTCAATCACAAAAGTGGAAAATAAACCACCAAAACAAACACGTGGAGCTAAATGATAAGTTGACCCATTGAATATAAGGGAGCAACCAAAATAGTTTCTTCTATTATACATCCTTTTGCTACCACATCTGTGGTGGTTAGGAGTTATGTAAATTCATTAATTAAACTGTCTCCTGCTTCATGTTGGTGCTGACTTTTTAAAGGCTTCCTTGGGGTTCCTTAACATAACCCTAAAGCTTAACACAAGCCTTTACATTAAAACTGAACTGGACTATTGTGGCCATATTTTGTTGACCACAACTAAAATACTTAATTTTAAAACCTTTTATTGTTATTAATTGTAATTAATAAATCTATTCTGTTGATAATCTGGGTGTTTGTTTGTTTGTTTTCCAAAAATAAATATGCTGTAAAAAGCATTTGTAGGTTAATTTAACTGAATTCAGTTTTCTGTTTTGAAGTATGACAAGATATCAGTTTGGCTGAAATTCCCATACCCATGTTTACAGGAATGCTAATGTAATTATTATTTTAACAAAGACCTTCAACATGATTAATCACTACCAGACTCTTGTTGTGGCCCAGCTAGACTTTAACATGAAACCAGTGTTCAAGTCTAAATGCAACCTAACTGAATTAACCATAAAAATATGCAAACTCATGACTGAAAATTAAATATTTCGCAAAAGTGATATTAAACTGTAAAAAGTAATAACTGCTTGCGGTTCACGTTTTGCTTCTCAAAAGCATCAGCACGTACTGTTCAGAACCTGAGTCACAGAAAATGCTACATTACTGCAGACAACATCCTGTATTTTTGAGCAATTTGTTTTAGTTTCACCAGATGTTCAGTTTGATTGTTTTTTTCACATTCAGCTCTTTTAGCGTTAGCTAACTAAGCATAAAATATAGACTGAAAGGGATAGAGAGAAACAATATTGTTCACTTTGTTTAACTACAATATATTATTTCCTCTCTGATTCACCTGTCCTGCATCTTTTCTGTTCAGATCTTTCAGCTAGTTCATTCACCTGCTGTCTGTTTACCGCTTTGTTCAATGTTACATTATTGCCCTGTTCTGTCTAATAAATCTTTATCATGTGTACCTCAGTCCCTTCATTTCCCAAGTCTCTTTCCCCTCTTGTCTCGCTCCATCCCCCTTTCCTTCCACCTCTCCACTTTCCTTTTCCCTTGGATAGCTGCTGTAATGAACCCATAAATTGGAGCAACACAGCGGTGGCTACAGGTCGGGTTTAAAGGGGGAGGGGTGGATGTAAGTAGGGAATGAGGTGGGTAGATCTGAGCCTGCCAGAGAAAGGGAGACAGGTAGAAAAAAAAAGGGAGAGAGAGCAAAGTGGGGAGCAGAGCAAGGATTCATTCCTGCAGACAGGGGAAGAGATATGACTACAGTTGGAGAAGAGGCAGACTGCAAGGGGAGAAACTGAAGAGGAAGAGATACAGAGATGGTGGAGGAAGAGAGGGGGAGGGACATTTGAGGAAGGTTTCTCCATAAATTGGTTCAGGAATTAATTTGCGCTAAGGTACGGTATAGCCTTGGAACATGCCATCCCAGTCAGATGAGAGGTCCTGTGGAAGGGAGACTGATCACAATGGCAGCAGATGGTGGAAAAGGCAGAGCTGGTGGTGGTTTTGGGGTTTGGATGAGCGATGGGAGGACAGACGACGAGTGTATGGTGGAATGACAGAAGTAGAAGAAAATATAACAGAGGCAGATGATGCCCAGACACACAGACAGACCCTGAGCTCAAATGTACTGTGAAACACAAGCAGCCACCTGACTACTGTGATGGCCCCACTGGAATGGCAGATAGTGATGCTGTTGGGTGCTGAATATCATTCGCGTGCAAATACTCATCACTTTGCAGCATTTCTAATTACTCTGGTGGTGCTGGACTAATACATATTGGCAGCACTGTAATATTCATTAGCAGATAAGATTCCACAATGTCTCAACTGCAAATGAAAAAGTTAGGGACGTAATTGTAATTTGTTTTAAATCACAAATAAGCTCGCAAAAGACTTTGGATATGAGCTAATACATTTTCACTCAAGCATAAACTTGAGATTGATCGGTTAAATGTTTATCCCTGATTTCTTCTGCAAAATAGGCTGCGTGGATGTGTTGCTTTGCAATTAAAATGCAGATAAAATGACTTCTTTGCTTTCTTTTTCTAATATAGCTTATTCATGTTTGGGTTTTCACTCTCATACATGCAGTTTGCTAAGTTTTCACAGTACAGTTGACACCTGAAGCCAATCATACTGAGGGAGACAGGAAGGAACAGGAGGAAGGATGGGTGGAGCGGGAAATGAGTACTCTTGATTGTGGTGCTCAATTTGCCATGCTGAAAGCATTAAGCTGTATGGAGGCAAAACTGTGCTTAATACCATCAAAGCAATCAACACAGGAAGAAAGGCAAATATATAAATAGCAAAAAAAGACGTAGTGTGAGATCAAGCCATGCAAAATATCAAGAACTGCTCACAAGAAACCACGCAAATCAGTAAAATAAGAAAAAAACATATCATCAGAGCCGACTTTCATAACGAAGGAAAAAGAAAAGACTGTAGCTAAAATTGAACAGATAAATAGTGACACAAGCTGCAAAAGTGTCTCATAAAAATGATAATAATAAGAATAATAATGACCATACAGAAAGAAAAAAAACAACAACAGCAGGAAGCATTGTATTGAAATATGAAGTCGTCTTGCAGTTACCTGAGCACGGAGTTACCCACGAATCTCCCGAAATCAGAATGTTATTCTTGGAAAAAGCTATTACCGTAAGACAGCTTTGGCTCTCGTTACGTTTGATTCTCAGCATTTCTTGCCATTCCTCGTCGGGTTACACCTGCTCAGGCAAAGGCAACAAGGGGAGCGACAGCATGTTGTGATGCTGGTTGTAGGCATGCTGTCTGAAGTCTCTGCCACCATTGTGCTTGGATCTACCAAGTGGTGCTTAACTGCTTCCAGCTGACGTGCTTCAATCACTGCTGTGCCTCATCACTTCATCCCATAGACAGGAGACATTTAAAATGTGCACTAGTGACTTTAGCTAGCCCCAGTTTATGGTTCCCTTGTGAAGACATTGCATTTGAGTCATACCGTCATGTATTTTTAAACTCTTTTGAAATGTATTTATTCAGCGCAGGTAAAATCAACCCGTCAATCTCACTTGTCAACACTTCAGCATCTTCAAAGTCTCTTCCAAGCCTGTGAATGAGAAAGTATTCTGTATGTTCTTTCTTAGGTTGAAACTGCATTTATGCCCTGGGTAACTGAAAGAGGCATGCATGCTTTTTTTTAAACACTGACTTCAGTAAGGAGACATTTTAGACTCAGCTCGTTAGCTGATTTTTCTGTCTTTCTTTACATTTAGTATGTTTGTAGAGAGTATGCTACTGCATCTTTCAGGCCACAGTCAGAATGAAAATATTAATGTCATTTCAATTAATGTTTCGGGGTAATGCCTATGTTAGCATGGACTGCACAAACTAGCAGAAACATGTTGCATGTTGCTGTAATGGCTTCTAAGCTTTGTCTGTGACAGTAAAGAGCAGGCTGGATTGGCAGCACCGCAGTGACCTTTTTTTCTTTCCCTCTACGATGTGGGTTGTCCCTCTCGTCTCCTCCCCTTCCTCCCTTTTCACTCTGACTCATTTATCCAGTGAGCCGTCCTTGAGGCGGTATAGCATTAGGCAGGTTGTTAACACAGGAGAAAAGGGCGTTCAATGTCATGTCACCGTGTCGCAAAGCATGACAGAGCTGGGGACTGGGCCATCTTCCCGAGGAAATAAATACATCGCCATCTTCCTTTTCAGAGTGTAATGGTCTGGATATTACATCTCCTGTGGGGCATTACAATCCACGGACAATAAATCCATCCTACAGAGTGGTGTGTGCATGAAGGTTGGTGTGCACATAGCCTACATGCTACCTTATGACCACCGAATGTCTATGTGCATGTACCTACAAATGTAAATGTGTGCGCATATGTTTCAGTGGGGGGTTTATGTGCACAGTGTGAAGCGATTTGTCCCCTAGAGAGAAAGCGATCCGCCATCTCTACACTTCGTCAGCTGGAAGCAGCTAGGCGGCCGTAAATCTCAATTACGCAAACCCTTCCCTTCCCCTTTATCCCTCCCCCTCCCTTGCCACAGGTGACAATGGACCAAACTGACTGCTATTGTGACGTTCCAAGGCTTACCATTGGCTTCTGGCTGAGTCTGAGAGGGTACGGCCATGTAGGGGTCCTCCCCTTTGTCTGAACTCATGGGGGGGTCCTTCCGCTCCACCATGCGGCCCCGGCCCAGGGGGCCATCCGCGGCCTCAGGCAGGGCCGAGGTGGGAAGGGAGAGGGTGTGGTGGTGACGGTGGTGATGGTGGCCTGCCGGACACAACACAGGTTAACTGACTCTCGTGGCAGTCAGGGACCAGATTCAGTGCATGAAAGCACAGCAGGGGTGCTTACACACACCCACACACACCCACACACTAACACACACTTGCTGGGCTATGTAAGGCAACAAAGTGTGACCCCTAGGCAATTCATTAGTGAATGTGTGTGTGTTTCTTTTTGTCTGTCATTCTCAGAGTCTCTATATCTTTATCATTCTTCCCCCCTCCTGTTCTGACTGACACTGTTGGGCCCGTCACAGTTGAAAAGAGTACAATTGTATTTCTCTACAATCACCGTAGGGTGCCTGCCTTTGATATGAAGGACAAGAGACAAAATTTCTTTTCCATCGCTCCTGTCAAGAAGTCTGCCTGTAACTTTTCTCCAGCTAAAGTGGTTCTAACTCTGCTCATGTTCATCCTGCTCCCTTTCTCAAGCTAACTTTAAATCTTGCTTTCCAATCATTTCTGCAGCAATGTTTAATTCATTTCGATGTGCACCGATGGCTTCTCCAACTCAAAATTGCAGTCTGTATTAAACAGCAGCCAAAAGAAAATTAATATTCATTCTGCAACCATTTTTTAAATCATTTTCAAGCCAAAATCCTAAATATTTTGCAGCCCTAGTTCCAGACCGTTAAGATTCACTGCTTTCAGTTACTGAATGTAATAGTGTGCAAAAGAAAAACATGCAATTTAATAATTAGGGTTTTTCAGACAATATGTTAAGTAACTGCACAATACAGAATGCATATTATTTTCATCTTGTCTTCACTGCTTAGATGGCATATAATATCATTATGACATAGTGTTTACATACTTCAATACACTTAACTGAAAAAGTGTGGCATGCATAAAAATGTCAAACTCATTTGGCAGGTGTCTTATCAGTTTCTGAAACAAACACATGTCTATCCTCTGCGCGGTGGAGAAGCTGCTGCTTTTGCATTGCTCTTAATTCTTTAATTATCTTTGAGTTTGTATTAAAACCAAACCATCTGCAGAGGAGAAGTTTGGCTTGGAAAGCTGCCATCTTTGGAAACCAATGTTGCGTACGTCCCCGTGCATCTGAGTCAACACAGAGGGCACGTTCAGAATAAAATGCAGCCTGAAAGTATCTGATAAACTTTACCTGGTACAGTTTTCCTACTGATCAGATGCTTCTTACACCCCTCGGAAACTCATTGAATCCCACCGTTTATTTTAACTGAGGTAATTTTTGTGGAGCACTTTTATTCTATTTGGGCTTTTAAACTGATTATAAGCAGAATATCAGGCTCCATGTAAATGTACCCATTAACACTGAACAAAATACACCAGCTGTATCTCAGAGGAAATAAATGCAGTGCTACTGCAACACAGTACTCTTTCGTTTGTGGAGGATGGATCATACCCCCCTCCTCTGTGTCCAGCTTTGCATATAACTCATACAGTCTGTGCTTGCCTGTCTCTGTCAGTCTTAAGTTTTCTCATTTTGTTTCATAGGCAAAATCTGTACATAAGCTTTGCTGGAGAGTTTATTTTTGAACCATGCTAATCACATTACCATCCCACATGCTTACAGTTAAGCCACCCTACACAATTCTGAAGAAGCTATACATTGTGTTTAATGTAATGAGCTGCGTGTTTCTTGTTATTTTGTTTTTTGATCTTCCCTAGATGCAGAGTGACAACACTTTTATCAACAGCCTCTTGTGGAGCTCAGCCCCCAGTTACCATTTTGACACGCTATCTGCGTGAAGGAGGTGACAGCAATGTGCGTGTGTGTGTGCATGCGCATGTGTGCTCCTTTTCAATATGTGTTTAGGCGTGTGTTTGAAGGTGGGGAGGCATTTCAAAAGGCTAAGGTTGATGCTGCTGGTAGAGTACGCACAACAGCCACCTACACAACACCACCCAGAGCCTCCTCCTCTTCTGTGTGGCGTGGCAATCATTAAAATGATTTATTTAACTATTGGCCCAAGGCTGAGAGATTAGTGTGACAGGCCTATTTTATAATTCATTCCCCCACCGCCAGGGGAAGTGCAATTTAGGCAGATGACACACATAGAGAGAGCTCGGAGCCTCAGAGCTCCTCCACGGATCAGGGGAGAAAAAAAAGGGGGCCTAAACTGCCGACGGATGCACATCTCTCTCTCTCTACAGATTAAAAGAGAGGCAAGGAAGTCTAGTCTGGAGTAGGAGAGAGGAGAATAGAGAAAGGGCATTTATTTATCTTCAAATCCATATCAACCACTGACAGATAGATGCAAGGGCTGAGACTTTGTTTGGGGGGAGGGTGTTGTAAACTAGGTGTGTTTAAGTGTGTGCCTGAAAACACACAGCCCAGCCTGTGGGAGCATATTCAGCGCTACAGGGGTGTACACCAACACAGATGCTTTTTCCATGACCCTGGATTTCCAAAAGGAGGGAGATTCACAGTGGGGGTACAGCCACAGGAGGGTTAGCGAGAGAAAGTGCTGGGCTTTCTGGTACGGCTTCAAAATATCTATTCTTGTCATTCTGTATGGATCTGGCTGTTTTGATCTGGCAGCTGCGAGGTATGTGTGTGAGAGAGAAAGAGATTCACTAAAAACAAAACTAATGCCTCCTCCGATTAGATAAAAATAAGGTGGATGTGCGCGTAGGTGTGGGTGATATGGATAAAAGGGACTTTACTGCAGGCTAATCACATCTGTTTATCATCCCTTAAAGAGACTTCAGTGAGGAAAATGGCATCAATCGGCGGCAGTGAAGTGTAATCGTAATATTGTGTTGTGGGATTAAGAGAGTAAACATATCTGCTAGGAAAGGAAGCCAGCCGTAGAACAGTGTGCATGTATGTCTGTGCATGTTTACCTTAGCCCTTTTGAATTAAGCATCTCAAACTGTGCAAAGAGTCTGTGCAGTTAGCGGGAACATATTTCCAGACTCGAAACAGGCCGGTTTTATTTCTCGCTCTCTCTCTCTCTCTGTCAGCACATATCCCGTTTAATGCGCATGCTGAAGTATTTCTTTACCACCAAGGCCTTTAACCACTAACACCTAGATCTATCCAATTAGCAAAGCAAAGGTCAGGGATAATCGATGCTGTTTCACATGGGGATAAGGCGATTGGGCACTGGGAACAAGGAGGGGGGAAAAGAGAACTAATAGAATCACAATCAGCATTAAAGACCTTTAATTCTGATTTCTATCACTACGACCTTTATTCTAAACACTGCGAGGAGCACGGGGAGAAATAATATGAGCAATGAAAGTGACCGAGTGTACTTTAATGTTTCATTACCTTCGTAACTGGAAGGGACGTCTATCAAAAAGAAGGAGTGAAATCAATTCAGTTAAAACCTTCAGTCATTAATAACCCTTCTTTATACGTGTGGGAGGAGTTTTCATTTCCTTGAGAGGGGATGATTGACTGACTAGACGAAAAGGTGTGGCTGAAGTTAAAGACTAAAAGGAGATGAAATGCAGCTCCTGTCTTTTATTGGATTGCCTGTGCAGGACATGTGGGGTACTTACCATTCAGGGCCACAAATGTATCTAGAAGAAAAAGAAAAGAAACGAGGGAGAAACCTGTTATTGCTTGCAGTAAAGGGAGCTTATGCTTTAACATGATCAAAAGCCATGACTTTTAAAGTAATTTAAAATCGACTGGCTGCTCGATATTCTCCCAGCCCTAATCAGTGGTGATCTATATAGCTTCTAAAGCTAATGAAGGTCCAACACTATGGGTTCCCTTGACTAAACATACTAATGAAACCAGAGGGAAAATGCATAGCCTTTATTTACTCTCAGTAAACAGTTGAAATTGAGATGAGATGGACCAAAATTAATGATTTAATATCAAATTGTTTTGAAGTTTCTTTCGCAAACTGAGCTGCTCACTAGAATATCAACAAGGTTTTCCGTTGGAGAAACCCAAGCTGTTATTTTGGACATGAAAAGATAAGAAATACTGTCTCTGTATATGCGCCATTCACTGTTGTAGAGTAAAAGAGGCCTTTTCGAGACTTTTTGGCCTGACTCGGTTGAGAGCCCCTTCTTGTTTTGTGTTTCAAAATGAACCCTGTGACTGCTCACAAGCGAAATCCCTTCCCCGTGTTTCTCTGAATGTTTGTGTTGTGTTTTCGAAGTGATTTGCAAGAAGGAACCTCAGTCTTTCGGCAATAGGACACAGCACTCTATTGACCGGGGGGACCAAAAAGCAGCGGGAAAACAACAGAGGAGGCTGAGGGCCGAAAGGACAGATGGATGGAAGTGGGTGAAAGAGAGGATTGTGAGGGTGGAACAGGCGGATGGGAAAAAGGTAACGGCAGCAAAGAAGCACACGGAGAGCCGAGAGAAGAGGGAGTTAACAAAGAAGAGAGGAATGGTGGTGGGGGTGGTTGTGTTGGTGGTGCTGGTGGGGGTACAGAGTGAAGGAGGAAAGATAAGAGTGAAGAGGGCCTGCTTACTTTGGCAGTCTCCCAGGCCATCTGTGTTGCCATGCTCCACGTCCTGCTCAAAGGCTGATCTGCAGGGAACAGAGACATCATGGTCAGCAGTGGAAAACAGGCCAGGCCATGCAGGCTCGCCACACCTAACAAAGTAACAAAGCTATAGGGAAGCAACTACAAAAAACACCACCAATCGCAGCATATTCTATGCTAACACGCAGTGTGAGCTGCAGAAAGCCCTTTGCTGGATCAGAATCAAAGAACACCTAGCAGGTGCCCCGGAGACCTAAAATCAGTGGCTATGAAGAATGCAAGCAGGTTAGTAAATCCATAGCTGGCACAAGACGTATTACCAGTAGTGTTGATAAAAACAGATTTTCTTTTATGCGATTGCAATGAAAACTATTATCTCGTGCTCTAAAGCTTAAAAAAAGCGTTCAACAATTTGTATCCCTAATTGCTTCCTTGCTGGGAGCTAGATGGGACTGATTTCTTCATCTAGAAGGTGAATGTGAAGCTAGCTAACCCAACTTAGTGCAATAACATATGTGGAAAAACATGGAGAAATAGCCTATTGCTCAGTCATTACCAGCATATATGTTGTTTGATGAAAGACTTAATATAAATTTAGTGAGCTTTATTATTAACGTGAAAGCATGCTATTTTGGAAACAGCACTTCCGGTTAAGATAAGCTTGCTCTAGCTTCATAATCATCATATAGCTGCGACAGAAGTTTTAATCTCACCACACTCTTAGAAAGAAAGCAAAAGGGTGTATTTCCCAATTTACTGCTTTCACCAGAACTTCACTTTGCACAGTCTTGTCTTCTATTACAGAATGCGGTGTGTGACTCAACTCGCTTTAGAGGAGATGAGTGTGTAGTTACAATCACATGGGCCAAGACCAGAGCAGTGAGGGGTAACTGTGCTTGAGGGCCATCATATGACACAGAGGGGGAGAGTTTAGAGATGTGATTTTCTGATGCAATCGGCACCAAGACCTGTTTTCTCCCCGAAAGACCACCGAGCAGGCAGTAAGAAGATCTGTGAAACAGAGCGGACCAACCGTCGAGCAGGATCACGATCACGCATGACAGCTCTTCACAGTCCTCCTTAGCCTACCCCCACTCCCCACCCATCCTCTGCTGCTGCTCCACCTCCTCCTGCTCGTCCACCCGCCTCCCACCTTCTTCACCCTCCACTGGTCGCAATTACAGAATAAAGAATTATTTTCTAAAACAGCATCAGCCAACCTTTGTGGCCTGATCCGAGTTGAAAATATGTGAAAAAAGCAGCACATTTAGGAAGAACAGACAGTTGGAGCCCTGTTATTTGATACTCAGATCATATGTTTTGAAATATAGTCACAAATTAATTTACTATTCTTTTTTTTTTTTTGCCCCGGTTTAACAGACCCTTAATTTGAAAGGAGAGGGTTAATTTTACAGTTTTGATTGCTAATTTCCCCCTTCAGTTTCAAGCACAACAACAACAACAACCACTACACAATAGCAGTATCCTCTCTTCATATCTGGGGGTACAGTTAATCAGCTTATCAGATTTGCTTTTCATCCACAGTCATAATCACAAAGCGGATGCAGAGTTGCACATTTGAACCTGTCTAAGCACAAATACAGTCCAGGCACTCTAGGAATCTGCTGGATTTTCCTCAACAACATCATTACCTCGTCCCACCCTATCACAAAATACTATTTGGCCTGCAAAACACAGGTGCGTCATGGTTTCCAATTCAGACTTATAATAGCACCACGGAGGGCGAATTAGTAATGAGCAGACATGCAATACAGATGCAGTGTCTGGGCTTTTCTTGGCACATATAAAAGTGAATGAACCAAAGTGCGAACCTTTAGTTAACGGGTTCACGTTCCATGGCGGCTGCATTATAGCAACAGAAGTGCAGTCTGTTCAAGTGTGACATTACAGATGGTTCAGCTTGGGGTTAAGATCCCACCGAAACTACATAATGCATATTTAAATCAGATTCAAGCAACATTGTACATAACTGGAGGCAGCCAAGCCCTCCATTTTATATTACCTCGCATCGGGCGTGATTATTATGTGAGATATGTGGTTGCACAGAGAACTGCTTGCCGAAAATGCAGGTCAGGCATAATAGCATTAATTATTCATATCAGAAGTGAATGGGCGGCCAGGGATTTCATATACTGGGTGTACAGTGTAAAGAGAGTAAGCATAATGTTCCCTCAAAGTCACCCATTCATTCTGATTCATGGCTTTGATTTACAAAGGATCAGGGGGCTCACAAGAGCACATTCACTCAGTTTAATCCAGAGAAAACTCACTGCAGTGTTTTAGACAATGGTGGAAAAACACTGCTGATGCTCATAACAACATAACTGGGTTTTTTGTTTACAAAATTAGTACCATCCAGGATCATATGCAATTAAATGTACGAACACTGGGCAACTAGGGGCCATATTGCAGGAAACCAGAGTGCAAGCTGTTTATAGGCAGCGGGTATAAGAGGCATAACTTCACATGGGAAAGCTGGCACACTAGCATCAGGGCCAGATGGAAGAAGAAAGGAGGGGAGGGTTACAAGAGAGAAAGAATATGTCAGAGGAAAGATAGAAAAAGAAAGATGGGTAAAAATAGAAACACAGACATGGTTGGATATACGAAAGTAACGCGTAGCTGATTAGGTAGACAGTCAAGGAAGCAGGGTTTTGTTTTTTAATTTTAATGAGGAGAACGGAAAGTGAGAAAAGCAGAATGAAATTGTCTTCTCTGCAGGGATCCATTTGTGTAAGCAAACAACAAAATGTCACTGACTCTCCCCTCCCTTATTTTATCCATCCTTCTGTCCAGCCTGGCAAATGTTTTGAATGGCTCACCACAGACCTGCAGTTCCTATCAGATCTAATCCCGTCCCTCTCTCACTTAAAAATATTTTACAGTAAAGGAGCGAGGTCATCTGCCCTCCTAATGCCTGTGTGTCAGCTCCTGCTCCTCCTGCTGTGGAAACTCAATCAGAACAGTCCACTGCTTTGGCTTTGCAGAGTAATAATAGGATGGGCAGTGTGCTTGCGTGTGTGAGTGTGTGGGTTTTTTTCCCCTAAGTTTTGTGTGTGCAAGCGGGAACGTGTGCCTTTGGTGTACTGGCATGCCAGACCAATCATTTTGGAGCGGGGGGATCAAATTCATTCATCGTCAAATAGCCAGTGGAGCACCGCGCCTTTTGTTATGACTTCATCTGCAAAATGTTTTTTCCCACCACAAAACTCCATATGCTGTTTGTTCAGAAAGCATAAAGTGGTTCTGTGTCATGACTACAGCCACAAATTATAGTTACTGCGACCATCCAGCTTTCCCGAGCGCTGCGTACCAAACCCCGAGCCCGCTGCAAACAACACTTTCCTTCCATTCATCCTTCCAATAGCCCCTTCAGCTGAAGGAAATTGCAGTTACAAACCATAAAATTAGAAAGATCACAGATATGACAAGCAGGGAGAGGGACTGGCACCAGGTATGACAAAAAGGCAAAATGCTGTTTTACTAGTTCGATTCAGCCAATTCCAAAGCAGTCCACAGTAACAGTTTAAATGAAAAAATACACTGTTAGAGATAAATGTATTATGAGATGATGTTGTGGGCATAGTATGTGCATCTAAATACTACAATACCCATGAGCCTCAACTCCAGTTGGAGGAAAAGGAAGAGCAGCAGTAAGCTAACAAAAAAGTGCTACATTTCCACAGAGCATATTAACCAGCTTACTAACGTATACAACTAAGTTATTAAATGCAATTTAATACATTTTCATGGAGCCAAATACCCAAAGCATGCAGCTCCTTTGACTTCGATTGTCTTTATTACTTACTTAGTGTTGCCAACCACCTGTCTGCAGGCTCCTTCTGGGACCCAACCACAATATGGGTCTCTGGAGGCTATACAGGACCTGGAGAAGAATTGCACACACCATTAGGCCCATTCTGCACATATTGTTTTCTTCTTTCAGAAGGAATGAACATTGCTCAACCACTTGAGTAGGAATGATGATTTAATAGAGTAGCAAACTTACTTCTTGCACCGCCCGTGCCTTTCACACCGAGAAAGTGGCACTTTAACCACACAGGAGGTGAAGGCGACCCACAGAGCGTGACTCTTGCTGTCTATCTGTATACCTATGATGCGCTTATCTTCTATTCCATCTATGCTGCACCTAGAGGAGGAAAAGAAGACAAAAACTGATTACTGTGTATTTTCTTTTTCAGCTGATTTATTGTGCTTTTCAGTAGATGCTGTTAAAATGGTGAATGCTCAATAAAATACAGGCAAAATTTCAAATAAATTTCACAGTTTCATCGGGTCTTGGATCCACATGGTGCCAAAGAGAGTGGATATCTATAATCAGGTCTTATCAAGCACAGTTCTGACTGTGATCGCAAGAAATTACCTGCTCTTTAACTCTCCTGTTTGCAAGGGGTAGGCAAGCAGAAAAAGTTGGTTTAAGGAGCAGACTCGGAGCAGCTAAAACTCCTTGTTTCATTTCATGGAATGAACTAAAGGGCCAGCATAAGATAAATGAGGAACATTAGCAAAGCTGATCTAGAGTATATCGCCCTTAACTATATGGTAGTTTAAAGACAGAGTCTAGAGAAAAGTTGGGCATCATAAAATGAGATTTAGCTCATTTAACGAAAGAAAAGGGATGATTAGGATGTGGCAGAGAGACAAACTGTGAGGTCAGGGAGGACAGAGATAATGCTGGACTTGGGAACATGAGGTCACAAAGAGAGCGGGAGATAAAGAGAGATAAAGAAAAGGGTGATACAGATACAACAGATAAACAGACAGATGGGCACTGTGAGCAGTCAGTAATAACACGCACTTAACTGGAGAATCCTCTAACACTAACTCAAAGCCCCCCCAGCTCCAACATTCCTCTATCTCAGCTAGTCTTCTTTGTCTCAACAGCCCCATAGGAGTGCACTGTAATCCCTCTGGGGCGTGTCAAGCATCACTCTATCCCTTCTCTCTCGCTCCCTCTGTTCCTCTGTCTATTCTACCATCCAACTCCTGGGATTTAATCTTTCCTTTGCAGAGCTTTGGTCCTGTATTAACGCTCTAAATTGGGGCTTACAGTCCATCTACACCGGGTAATGCACAGCAATCAGGCCTACACTGATCCGGCCGGCCAGGCAGGGAAGCAGGCAGGCAAAGTCACACGCCGTATGCGGCTAAAGCCAGATGGCCATCAGCCCACGAATGCTCGGTCCCAGCCAGAGAGACACAGAACAGGAGAGAAGGGAAACAAAGAGAGGCGATACTGGGAGAAGGCAAAAGGAGACACAGCAAGTAGAAGTGAAGAAGTAGAAGCGAGGGCCTGCCCTGCATACCGGACATATGGCCCATCACATGGTCGCAGCATGTTGGATAATCAACAGTAGGAGCCTTGAAAGCCCTCCCATCAAGTCTTCCGTCTCCTTCCCGTATTCTTCTCTGCTGCCTAACACAAGCCTCTAGTCTTCCCATCTCTTCCCTCTGGTCTTTACCACTCTTCTCTCTCCCTCCTGTGTTTGTGCTTCCATCCATTACCTCTCAACTAAATATTTGTTTTGGCAGAGTGAAACTGTGGCTGATTTTTCCTTATTAACTTATACTTCAGATGTACAACAATACCCAGCTCGACCCTCTGTACCAAGTTCATGAACACACACACTCACACGCACACAAACAGACTTACATCCATACATGCACCAACAGATGTGTAATGTATTAGCGAGAGATCCCAGGCTGGCTCTGAGACACACACAGACCTCAGTGTGAGTTTCTATGCGTGTGCTTTCTTTAATCAGCCAAGGTTTTGGCTCTGCTGTGGTTGCGAACCACAGTGCTACGTTATCCAGAGCCTTAGGGTCTATGTCTTTAATTTAGTAGCTGTGGCTGGGCAGAATGTAACCTGATAAAACTCTTTTAAATGATAGAGTAGCCATCTGGTTGGCTGGCTTCGCAACATAGCTTGGGTCAGGGGAACGGACTGGTAGTGATGGAGCTGGTGGGTTGGTGGGTTGGCTGAGCCGATAGATGGTGGAAACAAGCAAAATTAAACACATTTGCTCTCTACAGAGCACACACGCATGCAATAACTGTACTTTCTGTGTTTATAGCAACTGTATCCATGTGTTTCTCTATTTCTGTCCATTGCATATACACGTATGCTCGGTTTTACATACTTGTCAGGGTTGTAGACACTGAGCTCCTCAAGAAACAGGCTCTCGTTGAGGAAGCCGTTGTTCATCTTGGCCAAGAATTTGAGGATGATGCCTTTCTCAGACCCCAGAAATACGACTGTTTGGTTTTTATACGGCCCTGCCTCATTGTCCACCACAATGCGCGTCAGACGATACCTGAAAAAGGAGCAGCAGGTAAAAGAAAAACCAATCAGTCAATTAATTAGTCAGTTAGCCTGCAAGCAGAGGAAAATCTTTGCTCACTAGAAAAGCAACACCAACAGCAGGGACCTAATGCAACTGTTTTCAACTTTTACTTCCACATCTGGGCCACTGGAAAAAGTTAGCCAAAGAGCAAAATAAAATAAAAAAAATAGGGGGATGTCATTTTCCAGATAATAATTACCTAATCAGCCAATCAATTAACGTAGCTTCCACCACGCATGTCAGAGGTCTAAAATAGACTAAAGAACAGCAGGGGGCGTGCATTAATCCCACTAACTAATTGTCATTTGATTAGAAGCTCACAATCAGATTGCCATAGGGCCTGTCAGGTGGTTCCTCAAGTAAAAACACTGCAAAGAAGTTGCTCAAGCAACAGATAACAAGCTCTACTTTCAATTTCTAATTGACAGCTGCTGATCGCACAGTTTGGCTTAGCACCAGTTGGATGTGTATAAAACTCAGAAGCATACCAAACACTTTAAGGTTGGAAAATTAGACACCTGCCAGTCAGTGAGATCTGGACCGGCGCCCTGTTATCCTTGTGGGTGAACGGGTTTTTTAGAAATACCTCCCGAGGCTGTTTACTCTTACCGACTGATGCAAATATCTATCTAAGTTTAAGTAATCACAAAGGCATGCTGCCTATGTGAACACCAATATTTAACCAATTATTTTTAATTGACGTATATGTGATTTAAAGATGAGAGTGTATTCAGAAATCTTGGAAGTTTGTTTTGCCCTCATTAATGTTTACTAGATACTGTCTAGGTGAAAAAGTTTGTCATCAGATCATATTTATTTGGGGGGTAATGAGACTAAACTTAACCTACTTAACTAAACTACTTAAACTTAACTACTCGAGTACAGTTTTACACCATGAGCCCATTAAAACAAATAATAATAAACATAGCCACATCCTCTTATCCCATTCACTGTTTTTGTTTTCTTTATACAGTATATCCTTTGAAATGCTCTGTGCCTCCAGCTTTATCTAGTCAACATTACCACCGGTCTGAAGATTTAATTTGATTTTGATCTATTCACTCATAACAGATGCTCCAATAACCATTTCAATGAGGCTGATTCCAGTTAAATAATACAATCTCAAAGAATAAGACGTTCACTGTCTTTCCTACTCAAGATAATAAAAATCACAAGAAGGGGATTCTTCACTGTCTCACCCGTCTTGGTGATTCATTGTGCCCAGACAGCTGAGGTCTGTGCCACTGCACAGCAAGTCTCAAGCGGTCTCAAGATGGAAAAGATTTTTCAAATTTGAACTTCTTTCTGTGTATTGAGGTGTCCCCTCTGGGGTGTAACAAGGATCAAATCCTATTACCGATTTCATTTCCAATTGACTTCAGCTGAAGAACAGTATTCCACATTGAAACCCTGACAGATATCATAAGAAGCCTCGCTCCTCTTTCGCCGCATATGCTTTCATGCTGCTTTTTGGGCCTACATAATACTTTCAAGAACCGCCTCTGACTTCCCTACAAACTCGCTGTGCTTGCTGTGATGACATTTCAAATCAAATCAAATCGTCTGATTGCTGATTATGTAAAGATAAAGAAAAAAAGTGTGTCACTCATAATGTATTCTTGTGATAAAGCACACTAATGAACACAGAGTTGTAGGGATAACCTTGATGAAAGCTGTTCATATTCTGACTAAGCCACTGCAGTATGTAGGTCAGACCTCGGCAAAGGAGCAGCAAGATGTGATATGATGCAAATAACTTGTAAAACGTATGAAGAATTCTTTATGTAGCTATCTTTAAAGTGATATTACCACCACTGAGGCCTGTCAAGGATCTGGTAAGCTGTCCCAACTTTAAATCTTGAGCAGCTGTAATCCATATCCAAGTCCAAATGAAAAACTAGATTTTTTACTTTTTACCAAATGCTCTGTCAGCTACTTTTGCGCTGCCGATGGGATGGCGGTGTGCTGTCGCATTCCCCCCAGAGGCTGAAATGTCTGTGTGTAGTGCAAGTAAAAGTCAGACAGACCTTTATGATCAAACAGCATCAGCCACAGTGCACTGGCTTTTGAGAAATGGGCTCAACTACAGAAACTCAAAGGAAAAGTCACCACTGAACAAAAAAAAAAATCTGTTTTTTTTTTTTGTGTTTTTTTCCCCTGTGAAATCTCCCGAGAGGATTTTAAACAAGTGACAAAGAGCTGAACTCATTGTTCTCATGTAAATGACACGTTTCAGCATGAAGATCACTAAGGATTCAAACTGTTTGCGTTAACTTCATGACATCACCACGCTGTCACTCAGAGAGAAAGCTAGTATAGATAGGTGTTTCCTCTACTACAATGAAAATAGGTCAGTGGCTGGAGTACCTTCAGGCTTTCTTTTAATGAGCCTGATCCTCACAGCAGCACTTCATGTAATTATTGTCCTGGGCTGAAGGGGCTCGTAGCATGATGATGATGATGGAAGCTGGAGTGTGCGATACTTACCGAACCATGGTCTTGAGAAACCAGGGCCTGTTAGCAATGGAGGGTACGGCCTCGTCCATCAGAGGATGCATCTTGATGAAGTTGAGTGTGTCATCGGGGAACTCATTGGATACCTTATACCTCTCCATCGGTGGAGTACCAGCACAGTTGCCAGGCCTACAAATGGAGTGGAGGAAGAGATAATGGCAGAGGGAAAAAAATAGTGAATAGAATATGGAAAAAAAGCACAAATGAAAAACCACCACTTTGACCGCAGTAGGAATGAGCCATTTTTCATGGTAAGAGCTTCAACGGAGGAAAGAAAGTTCAACTTTCTTAAAATCAATGAAAGTGCTGCTTTAAATGACTAAACTCTCATTCCAAGAGGCTTTTGGTCACATAGGAGGGCGCAAGATGTCTCCTTTTCTGTGGCTTCAGGCTAAAGCACTGAAGCATTGTATCTATCTGATCCTTTTACGGGGAGTTGGTGAGCTTCTTGTAAAAGAGAAGCTTCTTTTGATAGCATATCCCCTTTGCAGCCATCTCACCTCTGAGAGCCTTTAAAACCCTTTACTGCTTGGTCTTTGATACCCTGCCATAGCATATAATCCACAACAGATCCCAGAAATATTAGCCATCTGGCCACTAAATGTGTGACATGAAAAGACCAAACCCTATAGTCTGTCATAAAAATATACAACCCTTACTATGTGTATATGCACATGTTATTTTTCATTTATTTAATTAGAATTTTATTGACAGAATGATGCAGTGAAGCCTTTGCTGATTTGTATGAAATAGAAATTCATTCGTGATAATGAAATCCCCATGTTTATATGCAAAAACGTCACTGTATGGCATTCTGGTGCAAAACAAAAATTTGATTAGACAAGTGATCTCTATTATATGGCAGCTGTGTGCATCTAAAGCCATTAGAGACGCATGTGAATTTACAACAAATTACCTTGTGGGCTGAACATGATTAGCAGAATTTTCTGTATTATATGGCGGCCGTGTGCATCTGAAGTCGTTTATAGCAAATTATCTCGGGTGCGCAAGATAATAACTTGAACACACCAGATATAAACATCAACTTACAGGACTTTAGGGAACACCATAGAAAACATGTCAGCTGATTCTAATGTTAAGCTATTCTCAAAAGTATTACTGCTTCACTGTAAAAGAAGAGAATAATAGTTTGTGCTAGAATTATAACATTTCTGCTACTGCATTTACGTCCGGGCGCATATGGGCAGCAGAACGAAAGCAGACATCTCTTAAATACGAAAATCTGTAAATGATTCAGTATGAGTGTCTAACACATGGAGTAACAGTCTGCTGCGGAGCCAGACCTAGGTGGCTTTGTTACAACTCTCCGTCTGTTTGCTCAGTGATAAAAGGTCTGAAAGAACCAAGGGATGGAAATTAAATCAATCACATCAGTTACTACAAAAACAGTGGTGGCTGTACCTGCTCTTTGAAGCATCTGACCTTGTTGAACATAAACAAGTAATTACATGCTAATTGAGGTAAGTGCGTGAACTCACACAGATACGCACATTCACACAATGCATGGAGATTAATGCACAAAATACAGTACGGGCTCTCTGATGGTGAGGAACTGTGTCCTCAGCCATATGGGACACACACACACACACACACACGCACATTTATCACGGCCCAGATCTTTGTCGCAAATCTCTCTCTCTCTCTTTTCTGGAGGAAAGGAGAGCATCCTGTTAGCGCACTAATTAGTTTGCAATAGATGGGAGATTGATCAGGTTGGTACATTTGTGGAATTAGCCAGCCATCTGTAAGATGATGTCATGCTTCGTTTATTGATACTAAATTAGCTGCGTGTGAGGTGTGGGTGGCAGCGGTAAGGTGAGGTAATGGGATATGAGTGCAACTGTAAGAAAAGTGGTCTCTACATGAGTAGGTGCGTGCTGCGTGTGACACAATTTGACACATGATGAGCGTTTTCTGACGAAATTAGCGATGCACTAAAATATGAGGCAACATGAGTTAAGAATAAGTGATTATTATCACATTGTGGTATAACAAGTGTTATGAATTGACTGCATAGTTACATATTTTGTCTGTGCGTGCATGTGTGAGACAGCCAGGAATGAGGAGAAACACAGGAAGAGAAACACTCAGTGACTGGTGTGTGTGCGTGTGTGTGTGACTGCCTTAAATCCTGTGCGTGCCTGTGTGTATGCAAGTGTGCTCGCTGGTTAATTAACTGCTGCTGTACCTTGGCTTGGGAACCTTCTCTTCAGGAAAAGGTGTCCAGGTGGAGTCTGGTGATTTCTGTTCTTTGAAACGCCCTGTGAACGTGTTGGCCACCTCCGCCATGTCATAGGCACACACTGCCGAACCTGGAATACTGCGACGGCACACACAAGCACACACGACTAAATAAACAATCCTCTTGACTGAGCATATCAAAGAAACACCTTGCTATCACCAGGAGACAGAAAAATGGATTTACAATCCCTTTTCAGAAGGGTTAAATCCCATGAGGATGGCTTATTTTAGCTGTTGCCTGTTTACACTGGGTGATACAGTCAAGTTTTGAGTGTTGTGAAGGTTCTGCCAGATTAAAAAAAAAAAGAGAGGCACGTTGTTTATCCTCACTTCCCTTAGGTATACAAGAAGACACTTTACACTTTCCTCTATTTTTTAACATAATTTGATCAATTTTTTTCATTAATAAAAGCATTTATTTCTTTTGTTCTCTACTGATCACCATGTCAGAGCTTTTGTGCATTCACTTATGTGTTATTGAATGTAGTGATTTACGGGTTCACACATTCCCGTACAGTAACCTCTAACACTGACTTTCCCCGAAAGCCTCCAGGCATCAAAGTTCATCACCAGTCCACGCTTGGGGCCAAATATGGGCAACAGATTATCTTCTTATCACTTTTCATTTTAAGGGGAAAAATACCCATCTTATGATTGCAGTGGAGCCACTGATTTCTTTGTGTCTGTGTGAAATCAATGCATAGCAGATTACTGAGTCACTTTTCTATTTTTTATGCTTCTTTTCTGTCCAGAAATAAAAACTAAGGGCTGTTTACAGAAAGAAACCTCTCTTTCTCTCTCAGCTTGCTGGATTTCCATGCTGTTACATCATGGGTTAAACTCATCATGTAGACATTTGGAAGACAGCAGACACAAGGGTAGCATTATAGAGAGCAAGGTCAGAAAGCTGTTAATTCTTGGCTTAGCTACTAAATTACAGTAATTACCCTCTGCATTGAATATGTACAAAAAGTTAGACAGTCGTATGTCTGTTTATATCGGGCTGCTAACGAGACAGAATTAGCTGGCCGGTTAGCAAAAGTCTGGGCCGTGAAGCAACTCAGCAAGACAATCGAATGACACAAAACCCTGAGTGCTGCCTACTGTCTGAATGTGCTCCCTTCACCCCCTGTGAAATGGAAAATTAATGCTAGGATCAAAACTCCCGCTTATAGAAATTTTCAGAGGCGCTGCTTCATTGGGTTTTAATGTCCATTAACCATGCTCAATTGCGTTGTCACAAGCAATTGTCTTATCTGCTAAAAAGCAGCCATAAAATGGAAAATTACAATATGTGTGAGCTATCAGCCAAGCTGTATGGCTTTGTGGTAATTTTCAATTTAGATAAAAACTCCCACTGACTGCGAACATGAAAGCCGTGCAGAATATGAATTATAAGAGGGAAAATAAGATTAAGCACCTGCATGTCAAAAGGCCAACAACACTGTTTTGACAGAAGATGTGAATGTTGACCCAGTGGGTTTAGAAATTACACGCCGCCAAGAGGCACGGCAGGGACACACGCTACCAACGTTAACAAAGGTCAGACTGTCAAAGTGTTGATGAATTTCAAAATGTCTTTCAAACTGAGAAAGATAATCGGTTTAATAAAGGGAAAGTTCATGTGCTGGTGCGTGTGAATTTAGCTGAGATGCTGGGAAACGCTGGAAAAAATACCCTCAGCAAAACCAGTTTATTGCTCACTTTTCCCTGCTTGTTTACTTTTACCTTCTGTCGTCATTACCTGTTGTAAGGCGTGGAGAAAGTTGCCATCACTACATCCCTCCCATTGATGTGAATGACATCGGTCACAGCCTGCAGGATGTTGAAGTAGAAATGGGAGTCGCCAGGGATGGAGCAGTTCAGGCGAGACTTTAAAAACGAGGTCCACTGCTTCTCCAGAACACGCGGCGATCCGCCTCGGTCGTTCTTACAAACCCTCGCCACCCGTGGAAACACCACCTGAAGAAGTCAAACGTGGGTTATATTTAAGAAGCTTAAGATTTCACCTTGAGATATCTACAGTCACACATTTCACGTCGATAATCTTATTGCTATAAGGCCTTTTTGAATGGGAGAAATTGTAGGTACACCACAATGTGTTAATCTAGGGTTTCGTCACGTTATAGCAAATTAAAGACAGAAGAAAAGTGGTGCATTTGATATGCTGTTAAACAGTCAGCACCTGGCAACAGAAAGTTTAAAGTATACGGCTTCAAATAGGCCCGAGCTCTGTAATTACAACTCTGTCGTAAGTTCACGTAGCCAGAATTGTAATTAGTTGTTGTGACACTATACTTAACAGCTATAAATCTTGCCCTGAACTGAAATTGATGGTGTGAATGGGAACAACCATGCATTTAAAACAGATCCCTACTCACACACCCACAGACAACCACACACACACCCTCACTCTTGCAAACACACCACGACCCTCCGCTTTCCCATTGAACCATGCACAAATATGAATTAAGCAATGCAGCAATTCCAGCTAAGACTCTAGAACTTGCACAGGCCCGTTCAGTGTGAAATTTTAGATTACTGAGATTACACAGTGTATCAGTGGGTCACATTTCTGCACTCGCTAATCTGTGAGCGACTTGGACGCAACTCGATACACGCATATACATAAATGGTCCAAATATACACATCGCTTCGAACAAACAAACGCCTTAGTGGAGGCTTTTTAATTCACTTGTGCACTGAAAGGTTTATCCTTTTGTATTTTCTAGATAACAATGTAACAACCCCACATTAAACCTAAAGCAAACAACTTGCCACAGCGGATTTATCAGTTTGCCATAAAGCACAGACGACTGTTTACATTGTCAGGGTAGGCCAGTCTTTTTCGTAATAATAAAGAGATATCAATTCACTAAATGTTAAATTGCTCTCTGCGCCATCAGTTCTACCACCACATACATAATTATACTGACACTGCTTTCAAAACACCCGGCAGATTGAGAGGCCTGATCTGTATTCATGCTCTGCAATAACACATGGCTGTCACTTCTGGCAGTGAATCCATTATTTCTATGTTACCTCCGCTCTGTTCTCATCTCGTCCCCTCTGTCTTTCTCACTCTCTCTTACGTGTTTTCTTTCATTTATTCTGCACAATATAAAAAGAGTGATTCATTTGCATAACGTATTTTCTTCTACCTGGTGTCCAATTAAACTTTTGCAGGACAGAGCCCAAAACTGAAATGAAGAGATTAATAGAAACGTTTCTGTCCCTATGGTGTAATACCTGAGAAAAGCTTGGGGTTTTTTTCCCGTCTTCTTCTGATACTTTGTCTCACTTCTAAGAGACACTTGGGCGTTTTTTTTCTCATGGGAAACACTGAGAGGGTAGGCCAAATGGGAGCAATGCAGGATGGATGCGGACGTGCAATTCAAGTAATATATTTAGACTTCAAAATGGGATCTCAAGACATCCATATATTTTCTTTTTGAACCTATTTTAGGTGCTGTTTCCTGCCTAGTGTTTATCTGTTACTGGAAAAGGGTTTGTCCACTTTACTGCTCCTAAAAGCCTCCTTCCCGTTACCCATATCCTGTTAGTTTCCTCGGGCGCTTCCTGATTCTCCCTGTAAATAGGAAGTCACCTCTGATTAGAGTTTAAAACAATAGTGTATGTGCTTACCTTTCCCATTGTATTGTACTCCATAGCAATTTCCCTAAAGAAGAAATAAATGAAGTCTCCATAATTGACTGCCTGGACGAAGTAGGGCTCTGCGAAGGGAAAAAGAAAAACTATTATGAGTCAAAGAAGCATTTTTGCTGTGACAAAACAGTTCTGACACCATATTTCACAGTAAACCGCCAGAATATCTGTCATATTATGCAGAAAGGTAGCGACTGCGAGCCTTGAGAGCCTCAAACTATCATCCATCATATTAGCAAAACAATTCACATGCAAGAAAAGGCGGATTTCTCTATTGAGTTTTGACAGACTGGACTTGTGCTTGTTTCTCCTCAGGGCAGAGTAATTTCAACACTACTTGTGCAGGCTGGCAACATGACTGCATCAAACAGAGCATGTAGCATAAATGCTCCAGCTCTTCATACTGTCATTCATACACAGAGGGACAAAGACATGTTTGCACATGAATCATAAAATACAAACACGTGGTCAAGCATGCATGTCCGAACCCTAGTTTTTTTTCTAACTTGTCAGTCAGCCTGGCACTTTCCAACCACGGGGACTGTGTTTGTGTCCCCCACTCACCTTTCAGCCATTTGGAGTCATGTTTGACAGTGCGCAGAGTCGGGCTGTCTCCAAGGCTACGATAGATGACCGCATCGATCGCTAGAAAGTCTGTAACGGTGGCCGAGTACAGCTTGCCATCTGGTAAGCGAACACAGAGGGAGAAAGAGCAATAAGGAGGAAAGATGTAGACGAAGTGGACAAAAAGCGAAAGACACAGAGAGACAAGAAAAAAAGGTGAAGAGATTAAAGTTAATCAAGACAGAAATGCATGAAGCCACCCAGAGATTCCTGCTCCCTGTGGTGAGATACACAAACATGTTTCAGATGATTCAGACCTGGAAAATGAATGAATCACACAACCAGAAGGCACTCTTTGATGGACAACAAACAGGCTGTACGCACTTAAACATTTGTAATTGGCCAATCTTGCAAACACTCTCCAAAAGCACAAACACTGTAGCCCTGCACTCGCATACAGTCTTCGAGCACCACAGAAAGCCAAAGTCGCACGCTTACATGCACATGCATACACACACATTCTTCGCAAACACAATCCACCGCTAGCATGACCTCAGCCTGCCTCAGCTATAACCACAGTGGAAACTCAAACTACATAATTGAAAGGATAGCAGTCAGAGGAACCCTGTTGATTACTCAGTGCTTCCAGCTCTGCTACACATTAACTGGTCAAGCTAGGCATTTACTCTTGTCCTCTACTTTAAAACGGCAGGGACAGATCATCAATACTGCCATAAATCGCTTCACAGCAAATGTGTATAGGGACTGGATGTCTTTAGCAGCCCGTGGGTTCACTGCACCAGAAGAATCTCACCACGCCGACGGAAAGATGACTCATTCTGGTCACATCCATGTGCGACTTGTGTTAGTCTTGAGCATTTTGAATGGAAGTGAATGAGAGACAAAGAGAATGACAGAAAAGTACAATAGAAGGCGCAGACAGATGAATCTGTTACCACAGTACTATTAAAGTGTTTCCAAAAGGCTCCAATAAGAAGAGCAATGTAGCGCCAAATCGAATGACTTGCTCTAGTGCATGTAACATAGATTGGCTTTCTTTTTTGACATGTCAGAGTATTGCCATTAGAGTAAACCGCAGGGTATTAAGAAGAATATTAAATACAACCGCAACTAATCCCTCACTCAAATACACTCAACTTTCCCATCTAGCTCAAACTGTTTCCAGCGTTAAGTAACTGCAGATAGGAGAAAACTGGGAATAATGTTTTTGCCTCATGGCATCCAATGAAGAGTAGAAATATCACATAAACTATTTTAACCTTATGGAAATTTGGGTTTCTTTCATTTTAACCCAAAGCACAGTGACTGAAGTTTAAAAATCACAGTGATGTTAAATGCATTACAGATCGCTGTCAGTTTAACATGCGCAGAAATGTTTAATCTTACCAGCAAAGAGGGCAACGTTGGCGTGCTTGGCATCATACGGACAGCGTGCCATTCCACTGATCTCCTCTCCCTGAGCCTCCAAGGTGTCAATCTAAGGTCAGGAATGAGATGAAAGGTCAAGAGGGGGTCAAAGCAAAGTGGTGTGTGGTGTCAAACAAAACAATGTACTTGAAAAAAACTTAGGAAGTCTTGGTTCCCAGTTGGAGGTAAAACTCTAGCAGAGGAAATGTGTCAAAATGTCAAGACAATCAAAAGCTATAGGCAGCACTTAAAAAGTGTTGAAGTGTGAGTCATAATAAAATAGCCCTCAAAAAGCAGCCCGAGAGTTTATCAATCTAAGTGTAGCCTTAACTAATATCACTTGTATGCCATTCTGGTGTCCTGTTGAGGGCTGCCAAAGCAACTGGGAAAATCTCAAAACTGTCATGGAGGGGGGGGAAAAAGACATTTCCGCAGCAACACGTTTCACAGTAGTGGTTCGCTTCCCCCGTCATCCTTTATCCTTCAGCTGTACTCATTTTAAAGAAGCGTTATAATGACCCTGAAGACCGATCTTCAGCCCATTCACAGCACCGCTTTCCCCTGTCCTGATTTCTAAAGCTTGCGCTTTTGTTCCGAACAGAGGAAAAATAAATTAGCACACAGCCCTGAGCTGGGAATGTGAAAATTTTTCACAAAACCAGAGTACGGCTGCCGTTTTTTAAGTCGTATTTTGCAGCACAAACTTTTTCATGTGCTAAGAGCTCTTCCTTGGGCAATGCTTACCTCCTGATTTGGTATATTTCATAAGACATACTAATTTTAATTCTGCCCCTAGACAATCTGAAAGTTGTCTTTTCTCAGCATTGTGAGTTAAGTAATTCAATTTTGTTATTCAGTCACTCAGCAGTCTCGTTTCTTAGAACTATTTTGAGCCATTGTTCATTGTTTAAAAAGTGCTAGTTTGGGCCTCCTTAGCGCGTTGATCACTGTGAACTGGAGTCCAGTCCAGTTTGGTTACAGTGCAATTGGCAGAAAATCAGATGTGGGTGAGAGGTCACTATCATCCCACCGTGGGTAGGCTTGTCTTCCCCAGCATGCCTCAGGACACTCTCTATGGCTTAAGCTCAGGGAAACACACACATGCACACAGAGGACAGGCTGCGCTGCGCTGACCAGAAGCTGGGGTCAAAGAAGATTACAATACACACACTTACCCAACAGTTCACAAATACATAGTCATTTTTCTTCTCTATCGCTGCTTCTATCTATCCCATACTCTTCTTCCTTGCTTCCCTTGCTCTCGACAAAGAGGTCCGTAGCTTGCCAAGGCTGCAAACTGCTTACGCCGCCCTTTCTGGTTTCTAAACAGGTCATTTTGTTTTCTATTCCTGTCTCGGCGGAAACGGTTATCATCTGCCCACTAAAAAGGTCACACACACACACACACACACACTCCGGCGCAACGCTAAAAAAGCTTGCCAGAGAAATTGTTGAGGCTGATTTGGCAGAGAATATTACAAGTGACCTTTTACAACAAACACAGAGCCACCAGCGGCAGTGTATTTCTCGATTTCTCATTCCTTCTGTTTCTCCAGAAATTGTGGAAGGACGATATATGGAAGCAAGCTGGACATATATTGTCATTAGATTGGGGGGGGGAGGGGGCTGTAATTATAGATTAGACTGAGTTAATCATAAGAGACGTGAGTAGCTGAAGGTCATGTGTGTCTACTGAATCACAGCGTCTGTGTGTACAGAGTGACATGGGAACTTAGTTAAGCTTGAAACGTCAGCAGCTTCTGTGTCAGCTACCTAACACAAACGCTCCCTCCTTCTCTGACACATCACAAACGCACACTCACATACTCTCATACCAAAGGAGCAACCCCCAGCACTCCATCTCCTCTGTTGGATTTCACCAAGGTAGTGACCTTTGTCTACTGGGTTTGGCCGGCTGTCATTAATCTATTCCTGCCGTTTGAGCAGGGGAAGACACTCCCAACCCAGCCGCAGATAGCGCATGGCTTCAGTCTCCTGTCAAGTTTGCATGTGAAGAGAAACAACAGCCGACTTCCATGCCGTTGTCTAAAGCAATAACCAGTGTTTTTTTTTGAAAGGGCAAAAGAAATCTATAAAGCTGCCACACTAAACCACAATGTTTTTTTAAACGCTACCACGAAGAAATTTGATGTCTAAGCGGCAAGATGGATTCTTATTCCTTTACCTTGTTTACCCGGAAAATGTTATTATACTGTCAACTCCACTAGCTGCAAAAAAGAAAGAAGTGCTTCAACTTAGTGGGAGCACAATTCAGAGTAATTTGAACAGTGGCGCTGTCACACTTTGTCAGGCCTGCCTTAAAAGCGCACTGATCTATAGGGATCTACTGTAGCTTAGCAGAAGAATGTACAGCAACCTTGGCCGGGAGCGCAGTGCATCTAAGATGAATTAATTACTACAACAGCGTATTGGTGTTTTCCATAGGCTATATGCTAATTAATTAGACAAATACAATGTAGATCCAAAACATGCCCATCAGGAGTGTTTTAATTGGTTCAGCATCAGCTCCAGTATTCGGGGGGTGAGGGACATGTTCTGATTCCATGTCTCTGTTGTTTTTATGAGGACGCTTTTATGGGCTTTATTTATCATTGCTGAGGGATTTGTGAAATCTTACTGAGGACAAACATGGGGTAAACTGAACCGGCGTCCCACTTATGAAGTGTTTGCTCAGAATAGCTTCCTTGAAATATCCCAGACTTGTTTATTTAATAGAATAAGCACAGTAAAGGGCGTATTTACTGAGACATATCCATTTGCAAAACTGCGCTTCCAAAATAATGCATGACTTAGGCACCTCATGAAAGGCCAGCCACTGTCAGACTATACTGGCGCTGGCATACTGATACATTTTTACATGGTGAGCTAAAGTTAGTAGCACGCTTTCAGACCCAGAAAATTTATTTGTATGCCATCCATACACCTGCAACAACCTTCCACATCTATAAAGGTCAAGTGCACAAGTTCACACCTGGACCAGGAGCAGTTGTATAAACTAAACAAGGACATATCTCCTGGGGAGATTAATAGTCATGGCCCATTTCCCTTCAACCTGTTTCTGAGCAGTGGGAGGGTGAAAACTTTCCCCAACCACCTTTTACACCAGAGCAGGAAATTTAAGGAATTTAAGCAGCTGCTGAAATAGATACGTCTTTAGTTTGTTTTATGGGGGAAATAAAATATATATATGAACTAAAATTACTGATCTCTTTTAAATACACTTTGCTGAAGAATCACTACACAAATATAACAATTGCTTTTGTTAATTATGTGTGGTTACTATTGAAGAGTTATTCATTAATTAATGAATGCTTTTGCAGTGTATTAAATTTGTATTGTCTTTTATTACGTGTCAGTCAGACAGCCTCTGGAAAAGCTGCAGCAAAAAATGGCATGCATGGAAGCATTTTCACCTCGTCATTTCAAATGCAAAGGCTTGGAAGGGATGAAATTTCCCAGTACACCTCGGTTAGCCGGTATCAGGTCTAAGACGCATCACCTGGGAGTCGCTGCCTCCAAGACTCCCCACTGATTCCCCCTGCTTCACCCGGCAACAGGCAATGAAACTGACTCCAGTCATATATCAGCCCAGCTGGACGTAGTGTTTATTATTACAACACAGCAAGGGAGTGACACAGGGAGAAAGCAACAGAGGGAAAGATGGCAGAGTGGTGGGAGAAGTGGAAGGGGGGGGGGGGGGGGGGGGGGGGGGGGGGGGGGGGGGGGGGGGGGGGGGGGGGGGGAATTAAGGCTGGCGGGAGAAGAGGAGAGGTATGAGGGAGGATGAATAGAAGAAAAAAGGGAGTTGGGTGCTGTGTGGTGCTAAGGGAGAGGGCTGTGCCATGCTGCCGAGGTGTCTGCCTGTGTTTTTTCTATATGAATGCATCTGTGACAGTGCATGTTTTTCTTTAATGTTGACACCACCAATTGAAGAAGCAGCTAATAAAGAGAGAAAATTGGTAGGTTTGTTTTAAAAAAACATAAATGTCAGAAACTCAAAGACAGGTAAAATCAGAGGTAACCAGGCAGGGGGTTGATGGAAAAAACAACATAAAAACCAACATGAGGTGTTGCTGGTTTGGGCGGTTGCCCTCCCTGCCCCCTCTGTCTCCCTCCTCTGTCTTCCACCACCTTTTCTCCCCTTCGATGCCTCCCTTTCCCTCCCGCTTGCCCTCGCAGCGCTGTTGATTAATGTGGGATGAGGCTGGCCCCTAAACAGAAGCTCTTTTCAGTGCTGTCACACTGGGGAGATGGAGAGGCAAACTGTGGCCAAGGTGGATTTAACCACAAACACATATACGCACACACAAACACACACAAATACACTTCTGACCAAGCGAAGTGGATGAGCCCAGCACGCCATCAAAGGTCTGGTATCTGCCCAGAGAGTTTGCCAGCCTGCCAGCAGTACAGTGTGTGTGTGTGTGTGTGTGTGTGTGTGAGAGAGAGAGAGAGAAAGAGAGATGCCTATTTTAAAATGTACACAGTTCACAGTCAGTGTTTGCATGGGTGCACATTTTCTTGTATATGTGTTTTGTGTGGATTTGTATCTTTGCGCCCATAGTCAGTCATATTTCGTGCATTTTAGAAGGTGTCAAGACTTTCTTGTAATGATTTTGGTAATAACTCAGTTGTTTCCTGGCTAAAACAGCTATTTTATTCAACTAAACATGAGTGTTTTAGTAGGTGTGGAAGGGCAGTTGCAAACACATAAATTCACTTGGGTAAGGTAGGGCAGGGACTGAGCAAATATGAAACATGAATTTTAATGATCGGCGTTCTTTAAAGAACAATAGTTGCCTTTTTTTATCATACCGTTATTGACTGAAGTTTGACTTTTAACATAAGTGATCAATAAAAAGCATCATTTTTATACCACAGGTGCATATAAGGCTGTGTGTAAATGTGGCGTTCTTTTACCAAACCTCACACTGATGTACAACACTTCCCCTCCCTTCCCATTAACTTCAGCCGACTAGCAGCGACATCAGTGCAGCAAAAGCTAAAACACAAACCTTGAAACCATAACCGGAGGCGCTATAAAAGCTAACCATGCCTGATAAATGCGGAGACATAAATTCCACTTTCCCTATTGGAGGAGTCAGTGAATTGAAAGACGTCCACTTTGTGTGCTTAGCATGCTGAACCACAAAGGCAGTGGAGCGAAGAGGTCTTGCTTTTCTGGTAAGCAGATCTGCTGAACCAAAGCAGGGGCGTTTTCCCCACAGGCCACCTAGATAACATCTCTGTGTGCTTTGACCATCACAACACATCCTTATAAACCACAGAACAACACCCTTCAGGACAGGACTGCTACTAAGTCTCCCTGTCCTTTTGTCTCTATTACTGTCTGCATGTCTATCTGACTGTCCCACTGTCCCACATTCTTCCTTCTCTGTAAGATGTCCTTCATACTGGGTCTGTCCGGACAGCAGTGGATAGTATTTGTACAGTATTACTATGATTAAACCTCTGATACTGATCTTTGGTTGGTTTCCAGAAGATTTGTCATAGAGTATGCTAAAAAAAATTAGACAAATACCAATTAAAACTTTAATATTTTCCAATATTTTCAACTATTGCTTAGCAAACTTAGTAGGTCAGCCAAGCTGAACGAACTAAGACTATAATGGCAATTATGTTCACTTTTTCACACTGGAGCATCAGAAACATCAGGTTTATGTCGACAGCAAATAAAAAAGGTTCAATTTGAACACAGCCCATCTGCTTTTAACGTTTGTTCATCTGCTTCCACGTATGCCAAACTTTAATCATCTCTCTGCATCTGCTTTTTTATTGGCATCTCTATTTTGGTGCACTAAGTCAATCTTAATGTGTACCTGTGCTCTCCTTAGTGACTCATAGGAAATAAAATGCACCATTTCTTTTCGTGGTTTTACTTTTCCTGAAGGAATCTTGCAGCTATTCCATAAATTGAATATGTCCGGAAATATGTTTTCAGGAAAAGGTTAAAACAGATCTGGCAATGTGCGAGCATGCATGAAAGCAGGTAAGATTGAGTAGTTTTCTCTGCTTCTGAACTGAGTTTGTCAAAGTACACCTGGAGGTAAAGGCACAGGAAGATGGCCTGCTGAGTTGTGAAAGTCATTCATCTATGTCCGTGGCTCCATAGCCCACCCCCTCTAAACTCTCACATGGCTGGGGTCAAAAATCCTATAAGTGTGTGTTATGTGTGTGTGTGTGTATGTGTGTGAAAGAGCAAAAAAAAGAGCAAAATGATAGATGTGAAAAATGTCACTGAGATAAAACAAAAGTGGGCAAGAGCACAAAAATAGTCATTTGTGTGTGTGTGTGTGTGTGTGTGTGTGTGTGTGTGTGTGTGTGTGTGTGTGTGTGTGTGTGTTTTCCTACCTTGTAGGTCCGACAGGAGGGGTTGAAAGCATTTGTTCCACAAACAAATAAGGTGTCTTCATTTTGCTGCAGAAGGACTTTGATGAAATTGTGACACTCATCCTTCAGGGAGAGCAGGGCAGGAAAAAAGAAAGAGAAAAAGAAGAAAGGAAGTCCATGGTGACATCTGTATCTGTAGCCACATGTGGGCTGTTATTTTTTTGCTTTTCTGTCCTTTGAAGTGCAGCATGTGGCACGCGGTGAGCAGGGAGAGGCATATGTAACAAACACAGTATCGTGACATGCATTTGATCACGGCACATAAAGGCAAATCCGCAGGAGATTTTAATGTGCCATTTAACGTCTTCTCAAACAATAATGAAAGTGTTATTAAGTTCAGGAAAAAAATAAAGTTATACAACCACGAGATATGAAGATTCCCACTGATATGCTCTATAAATTCTGACAGCCGAAGGTTATATGAACTGCAAGAGGTGTGTTATTGCACCTTCAGGATCTTGTGTCTTTAAGATGTGTGTTAAGAGTGTCTGTGTGTGTGAGGGAGAGAGAGACAATGAAACAGAGACTGTGCGCAATTACATCAGTTACAGGTTGTCTGCCATGCACAGTGTGTGACTGACAAAAAAAAGTGGAAAAACTTGAGTGACGTTTGCTCTACAAATGATGTTGTAGTGTGTGTTTTCCTTACCTTATGCTTCCCTTTCATTCTGCAAGTGTCCACATCTCCCTGTCTGGACTTCCATGTCATTTTCTGTAGAAAAAGATGGAAGTTTAACTGAAGCTGAAGAGAAAAATAGCGAGTCACAAAGAAAGCAGACTAAACAGTGAGGTGGGAGGGGGAAAAAACAGACAGCACTATGGAGCTCAATAACCCATCTATATTAAGATCAATAATCATCATTTGAGATTCTACATCATTGATTTCTCTCATGAGGCACCTGCTCTGAGGCAAACTTTATTCTAAGTTTGTTTGGAGATCATTTTACCTCCTTGAACATCGAATTTTCTGCCAGAGCGAAGGAAATACAATACTGACCCCGGATCAGAACAGACTGCCCAAGGACAGATCCGTGGACAAATCTGTGGATTAATAGGCTTGCCATCCTTGCGTGTGCACATACCCACACACACACGCACTGCCTTGACCTGTGGATCATCCCTCTTTTACTTTTAATTATACTTAAGTTATAGCCATGCACACAAACGTACACACACACATACACACCACGTGTGTCCCTGGCCTGTGTCACCTGAGGGTCAGCTCCCAGCCGCAGGTTCAGACCACTATGTACCTGCCGCTGTTGTACAACATGTTTGGAGCTCAGCCACTGATTAAAGACCCTCAGTCATCAATCAATCTGCGCGTCTCCCACCAGCCTTTCATCTGCAGCCTGCTCTCATTAAGACCCACTCGCCAGGCTCTGACATTGAAGTGGATGAGGTGGAGGGATTGCTGGTTGTTGCATACACGAGAATGGCCTTGTCCGAATTCTGTTTGCATGCATTATGTTTAGGGCATGCGATGCCAGCAAAGAGTGGTTGAAATGGAATAAAGAGTGGGTTATTACAGTCGAGGCCCTATGTAAATATGAGGCCCCTTTTTTGAATAATTTGAAACTATACAATGGGATCTTCTTCACCTCTGCATCCATATTGTCTTTCTTCTGCTACTCATCTAACCTTTGATTTCGCTCTCCATTTCCTGCTCCTCCCCCCTTCTCCTTCCTCCCCCTCGCTCTTCTTCCGCTGTCCCCTCAGCTTCCGTTACGCACCCATCAGACCTCTAGCTGTCCCACTGATGAGCGTGGATGACGCAAGCTAGCTGATTGATTAAATAATCTTCTTAACAGGGTCACCATTGCGAACGCGCCAGGTCCAATCGGTGAGCGGGTGAGTAAGACTGCTGGCAGGCACACAAATGCACCCACATGCACATACGTACACACTGTGGCAGTCAGAGTGAGGTTACGCTGTCAATCACGCAGAGAACAACACATCCTCAAAGAGGAAGACGTCTCACTCACCTTACTGAAAAATATCTCTTCACTGTTGGCAGTGTCTGTGTCCACTGTGTATATATGATCCCTGCAAGTGATTGAGGGAAAGCGAGTGAGGAAGGGAGAAAGAGATTGGGAGAAAGAAGAGGGCGAGATGAGAAGAGGTCAGACAGCAGCAGACAGTCAAAATTCAACAAACAATAAACCCATTTCTTTTCTTCCCTCTCTGTTTTCCCCCTGCAGGCAGCAAACAGCGTCAGAAAATGGGGCTTTGTATAAACTTTGTTCAAACTTCAAAAAATGACAATAAACAAAAGGAGGCCAGATCTATTTGCTCTGTCAGACAGAAACAGTCAACAAAGGTTCGGAGCGCCGTGGCGCAGGCCTGGGGACAAAAGCCTCTTTGTCCCAGAGAAAGGTCTTGGTGGGGGGTGAGGGAGGAGGGAAGGCTTGAGACGGGAGGTGCCAAGTCACTCAGAGCTGTTCAGGTCAATTAAGCCTAGTGTTTGAGCCACAGGAAATCTATACTAACACTCATTATAGCTCAGACAAGAAGACTTATGTGTGTTGGCCTGGAAATATACAAGCTTCTCCTGTGTTACACAGTCCAGCCATAAAGGCCCCAGCAGGGCATATGGAAGACATAAAAATCACAAGGGTTAACTACATCTCAGACAGACAGACAAGGCTAGTTGACCAGCCATGCCGCTACACCTTCTTACCGTGGAGAATTGGGGTGCGGACATGGAGTGGGAGGATACAATGGGTGTAGAGGTGGGAGGTAGAAGGTGTAGAGGTGGCATGAACGGAAGAGTCAGAAAGCAAAGCTGGTTTATTTCTTTTGAGGAGAGAACCAAAGGTGACCGTGCCAAACGATGTAACCGCTTTAATTTGTTGAAGATTAGCTGTTGAACGTGTTTTTAATCAAAGTGTGTAACAGTGGCATCATCTGACTCACGGCTTAATTATATTCCAGCTCCCCAACCTGCGCTTAGCCAGCCTGCCTGCCTTGCTCTCTCATTAACTAAATCTAATAAAGTCTTTGGAGGAACAGGCATCTTGAAATGAATCCACTTATATCGCTTTCCTGGGGGCCACCTCAGTCTCATCGAGGATAAAACCCAGTCTACTGTACATTATCAGCCACAATTCTTAAATTGAATAATTAATCTTTAAGAGTGGTTGAAATTAGGAAAACATTTCAGCTTTCATCACATTTCCAGAGAGGCCGGGGGCTAAATACCTGTTTTTTCTGTCGGTTTAACTTCTGAAATTTCTCAAAGAAACTGTAAAATACATCATGTGAATGCCTGTTTTCTTTTTTTCATTTCTCCACACTGAGGCTGTTTATGGTTTCTATAGTAACTGCCCACTGATCCGACCTATCAGTATAAAAAAATATACATAATTAATATCATCACCGTCAAACACAAAAATTCCTTTAGCAAATTGCCATTTAACATTTAAGAACAAAAAATGTCACGCGTTCAATTTTTTTTCATCCCTTCTCAAACTAATTTTCCACAACAGCGCACTCAAAAGTCAATTTTTATGGACAACACTGACTAATTTCAAAGTTGGCCTGTGGATTACCTCTCATAACTAAATGTTTGTGATTATTGCTTTCAGCTGAAATAAAAACCCTTTTCATGAAAAAAGCCAAGAGCAAAGTCAGCTTTAGGTCACTCAGATTCATCCCGTGGCCTTCCTTCCAAGTTCCTTTGCTCAAGCAAATGCCAGATGCTGACTGTCGCTGCGCAGTCTGCCATGATTAAAAACTGAGCAACAACAAGTTACAGGTTGTTGCGGCTCAGGCCAAAACCACAATCTCCCCTCCAAAATGTTTTTCATTAGGCCTAACTGGTTCCACTGCCATTGAACTGCTCTGTGCTAATTGTTCTGGACTGATTTTCCCGGGTCAGTCGGTCTTGCCTTTTTCAGTATCCCTTTCACTGCAGTCAGAATTACATGTTCTAGAGTATATGTGAATATTTAAAAAGCTGGCTTATAAAAATCAGCACCACTACATTTAAAATAGTGGAAAAACAGAGACACATTTAAATGGAGATGAAACACACGAGGTGATAAAAACGGTGGACGATGATCAGTAAAATGTTCTGATTTGTCTCCTTAAGTTCAGCAAGTTAACTTGTTTTATCTTTATATTAAAATTCAAACTTCATATTGAAAAGACCTAAATAAATCAAAAGCTATTAAATCAAAGGATTACTTAGCGGATTTATTGCAATCCCCTGGGTTATTTTACTGTCTGCAAATTTAAAGCAGCTCACGAGCAATCTGTAATTGACTTCTGCATAATTTTCAGTAGTAACCATCCCAGCGATTCTCCCTGACTTGTGCCTCTCTTATCCCGGTGCTGACAAAGTCCTCTGGGCTGAGGCCTTCCCGCCGCAGGTTTCTGGTTCCAGCAGAGATTAGAGCGAGCCAAGCGATGAGGCGTTCCTCAAACATCCTGACTGGAGATGGGGGAGTACAATGGAGCGGCTGTGTCTGTGTCAACACCAGCTTTCCAAACACACACACACACGTGCACGGAACAACCCCCCACCCCTGAGTCTTTACCCCAACCAAATTTCACATGCACCCTTTCCCCTATTCAGCCCTGCACCTGAACTCATATTACAACACAGTCACTTCCTTGTGGTCTCTGAGTCACATCAATGAAACACTCAGAAGAAAGAAAAGAAGCAGAGGCAGAGTTCAACATGTATCTGTGCAACATTAAACTGGATGTTGTAAACATCAGTACTATTTTTTTTTTATTTGAAGTTTTAAAATCAATTATCTACCTTCCAGGCATTCAGTATGCCAAGTTATATTTATCTTTTATTAAATGAAAGTCAACTTCCAGAGATGAAACCTGCATAAAACACATGATCCATCACAGTCCCATTGTTGCTAATTTGTTATTAGTTATTGTCCTGAAGTATGATCCGACCTTTGTTTCCCACACTCCAATATAGACGCCCTAAAATGTACATTTTTCTTGTCATATAAACCCACCCACAAAATATCCAATGCATATTTTCTTAACAGGATAAGTTCTGAGAAAAACAGCACATCTTCACAGAGCCAGAGAATCTTTTGACATATTTTCTTGAAAACATACCTGAAATGAATAATGGATTTTTCTTTTCTTTTTTTAAATAATTGCTGAAAAAATTGATTCTTGGATTATAAAGGCTTCATATAACCTTTTCACTCGTCTTCGAGAACGGCACATAAATTGATTTTCTTTTTCAGATTGTGGTGGGTTGAAAGGAAGTCGTTAATTTGAAAAACTCTCAGGAAAATTATCAGGAAACGTTTTACTACTATTTTTATGTTACTACAAAATAGGACACCTTCATCGTAGATGTCACTTTGAATATATTTCAGCATTTCATCTGATGGTTTGCAAATATTTTAGCCCCCCAAAATAACCCCGCAACATGTTCTGATTTCAGAGACGCTCTTGCCTGCTGAGCACGGTACAGACTAAACAACCTGTTGTGAGTAAAAGCTTTTGTTCTGCTGGGGCAAAAGTATGGCAAAGACCAATTTTATTATGCAACAGCCCATTTCCATATGTGCTGAGCAGTTCACTGAGAATACAATAATAGGTGTCCCATTGTCTATTGTTTTCAGGCTTGGAATCCATTTGTCGTACTGATGTACAAATTTTACTTGTAAAATTATTTATGAGAATGAAAAATGTGATACTCTGTTTAATTTGCATGCAGTATGCAGCTTAATCCAGGTGTTTTAGATCAGATAAGTGTCTTAGAATCAAGTTTTGTAAAGAATTAGAGAGCATGGCATATGTAATAATGACTCTTAGCTTACATAGATTATCCACAGAATTTCTTCTTTGCTCTGCTCCCTTTAGGAGTTACCACACTGGATCATCTGCCTCCATCTCATCCTATTACCAGCATCTTCTTCTGTCACACCAGCCTTCGTCTTTCACTACATCCATGAACTTTCTCTGTATTCCTCCTCTCTTCCTCCTGCCTGGCAGCTCCCTGTTGCCCATTATATCCACTATCCCTCCTCCGTACATCCAAACCACTTCACCCTTCTTTCTCTAACTTCAGGAATATAAAAAGTCATGGTATTGGTATAGTCTACGCTTTATTGCTTTTCTGAACCTCAATACTTTAAAAATTACGATTTATTGTGGGCTACAACTTGAGCCGTGTTGTGTTAGCCTACATTTGTTTGGCAAATTGGCAACATTAAAAGAATGAAATATCTGCACTTGGCGGCTCTGCAGTGTAACTGTAGATACAAAACTATCACTGGATTACTTTGGTAGTGAAGAAACTGAGAAAAGCCTAATCATTCCCATGCAAGTCGTGGAGTTGGCAGGAGTTTTGTTTTTCTCTTATTTCTCATGAGATTCATAGATGTTTATTCATGCTGAATGTGGGAGATAAATAATTACATCTCCAGATCCTGTAAGATGCTCAATTTGTGTGAGTGTGTTTAAAGTTACAGTTTTGACACAACTTGCAACAATCAGCTACAAATTCAAAAGTGTTTTTCGAGGAGCTTCTGCTGCAGTAACTGTGAGAGGTAACCGTGATTAAACCTCTTCTAAAAGACCAGTATGCACCTGTATCTTTTAGTTTAGGCAGTATATTTGTCTCGTGCCCTCTGCCGACTCTTTCTCCTCCTCCTCCCAATAACCTCCTCAAGAGGCACTCGTCACATCTTGAAATCTTTGCCGTGCTCTTTACAAGTTCTGCTTGTTCTGATGTTAAAATTTAAAGTCCAGTGAGGTTTTTTTTAAAAGCAAATGCGTTTGACACGGTCTTTACTTGGTTAAAACTTTAGTAACTTTTTAACTAAAATCCACAGGGTGCTTTGCTGCAAGTCATTCACTTTCCCATAATCTTCCCGCTTTCAGCTGTAAATCAAACAGCCTGAGGATGGCACAGTACTTTAACACAAAGGAAGCGCTTCTATAGCGTTGTGGTGCAGATGATGAAATTAGAAACACCGTGAGATTGTGAGGAACGAGAAATAACAGGCGTCTTTGACAGTGGATGAACGCGACACATTGGGTATCAATGTGAATCACTT